TTAGCTGCCCAGTTTGGTCATTCCTGGAGGTGTCACCTTGGATAAGTCACTACACTTCTCTGGACCATTTTTCTTTCTTCTGTATGGAACTGTAGAAGCATTGTGACAAACCACTGAGAAGAGATATGGAAGAGTTTGGAAACGTCTTTAAGTAGTTTTCTTGAAAGGGCAGGATAGGAGATACTTAAATATGATCCTAATTATGATCCTTTCATTCATAAATATATATGAAATTATATTTTGTGATATAGTGGTGTAAAATAAAAATAAACACCACTTAGGCTGTATCTCCTCCTCCTTCTTTTTTCTTCTTATTTTATAGAGATGGGGGTCTTGCTGTCTTACCTTGCCCAGGCTGGTCTTGAACTCCTAGTCTTAAGCGATCCTCTGCCTGGTCTTCCAAAACTATATTCCCCTTTCTTTTCTTTTGATTTATATATATATATATTTTGGTTTGTTTGTTTGTTTTTGAGACAGCGTCTCGCTCTGTCGCCCAGGCTGGAGTGCAGTGGCATGATCATGGCTCAGTGCAACCTCTACCTCCCAGGCTCAAGCGATTCTCCTGCCTCAGCCTCGTGAGTAGCTGGGACTACAGGCATGTGCCACCACGCCTGGCTAATTTTTGTATTTTTAGTAGAGACAGGGTCTCACCATGTTGGCCAGGCTCATCTCGAACTCCTGACCTCAGATGATCTGCCCACCTCAGCCTCCCAAAGTGCTGGGATTACAGGCATGAGCCACCGCGCCCAGCCTAAAATAAATGTTTAAATGTTGTGGGTCTCTAAGAGTATCATGGGCCCTAGGCACTGTATCTACTACTGTGTCTAATGCGTAAGTCAGCCTTTTCTGTCCAGGTTTCCTAATTTGCAAAATGAGGATGATAATAAAACCTACTTCACACAGTTGCTATGATGATTAAAGAAGTCATTATATGTAAAGTATTTTGGACAATGTATGGCACACAGTAGGTGCTATGAGTTAGCTATAATAATTACTACCATTTGGCACTCTCACTAGCAATAAATAGGGACCTCTGTTGCTTAACAGTCTTATCAATATCTGATAGTCAAACTTTAAAATGTTCAGTAATCTCTCGGGTGTGAAATCATTTCATTTCTTTTCTTTTCTTTTTTTTGAGAAACAGCCCAGGCTGGAGTGCAGTGGCGTGATCTCAGCTCACTGCAACCTCTGCCTCCCTGATTCCAGCCAATCTCCTGCCTCAGCTTCCCGAGTAGCTGGGACTACAGGCGCCCACCACCACGCCTGGCTTTTCTGTATTTTTGGTAGAGATGGGGTTTCATCGTGTTAGCCAGAATGGTCTTGATCTCCTGACCTCGTGATCCGCCTGCCTCACCTCAGCCTCCCGAAGTGCTGGGATTACAGGCGTGAGCCACTGCGCCTGGTCTATTTCTTACTGAGAAGCTCTTTATTAAAAGAGATCATTTATAGCACATAGAACTCATCCCCCAGTTTCCCTTTTTTGAGAGCTGGAAGTATGTCATCTCTGCATCCGTATAGAGAAGGCACGTATATGCCTCAGTGAGTGTTTGGTGGATGAACGAGTGAGAAATTGAATTCATGCAGGTGGAAGAATTTTGTGCCAGAGCTTAAGGCTATTGAGTATTTTTTTCCCCCTAACCCCGCTAAAGCTATTACATATTCACAGAGGAGAGCACTATTTAGTGGAATTACCATAAGCTTTCAAATCAGGCAAACCTGGGTCCAGATCCATTTATCCACTTGCTGTGCAATTCTGGGCAAGCAACATCACTTCTAAGTGTCTAGCTGACATCTACAAAGTGGGCACCATAATGCCATTTGGCAGGGTTGTAGTTAGAATGCCACCAATTGAGAATGCTGAAGGTGTATGTGATGCCTGGAACCAACTGGTGCTCAATAAATGTGGGTTCTGGCTGGGCGTGGTGGCCCCGTCTCTACTAAAAATACAAAAATTAACGTGCACAGTGGAGCATGCCTGTAGTCCCAGCAACTTGGGGAGCTGAGGCAGGAGGATTGCTTGAGCTTAGGAAGTTGAGGCTGCAGTGAGCCAAGATCACGCCACTGCACTCTGGCCTGGGTGACAAAGTAAGACCCTGTCTCAAAAAATAAACATCAAATAAATATAAAATTTTAAAATTTAAAAACAAATCTGGGTTCCTTGCCTTTTCGTCTGTTGTCTGGTTTCTGAGTCCCTCAGTGCCTAGCAGAACACTAATAGACTACTGCATGACTTGCGACCAGAAGCCCGGCTACACGGAGCCATTAGAAAATTGCAGGAAGATTTTAGTGGGGTGTGGTGGCGGGCGCCTGTAATCCCAGCTACTCGGGAGGCTGAGGCAGGAGAATTGCTTGAACCCGGGAGGTGGAGGTTGCAGTGAGCCCAGATAGCACCATTGCATTCCAGCCTGGGAGACAGAGCAAGACTCCATTTAAAAAAGAAGAAAAGAAAAGAAAAGAAGAGAAGAGAAGAGAAGAGGAAAAGGAAAAAGAAAAAGGCAGGAAGAGTCTTGGACTTGGAATCAGAAGATTTGCCTCGCTTCTTTCCATCTCTACCTTCCTGTAAAACCTGAGCACTTCACTTCTCCTCATGGAACCTAGATTTCCTGCCTTTTAAAAGAAATTGGCTGATAGAGTTAGCTAGATGGCTCTGCAATTCCTCTCCCTTTCATTTTTCTGTGTACCCAAGAAAACTGAAATATACGTGCACACAAAAACTTGTAAACAAATGCTTGTAGCAGTATTATTCATAACAGCCAAAAAGCAGAAACAACCCAAATGTCCATAAACAACATGTGGTATATCCATAGAGTGGAATATTATTTGGCCATAAATGAGTAAAATACTGATCTGTGTGACAACATGGATGAACCTTTAAAACATTATGCTAACTTAGAGGCTGGGAAGGGTGTGTGGTGGAAGCGGGGATAAATGAAGGTTGGTTAATGGGTACCAACATACAGCTACATAGAAGACATACTTTTTTTTTGCGATGGAGTTCTGCTCTTGTTGCCCAGGTTGGAGTGCAGTGGCGTGATCTCGGTTCACGGCAACCTCCGCCTCCCGGGTTCAAGCAATTCTCCTGCCTCAGTCTCCTGAGTAGGTGGGATTACAGGTGCCCACCAGCATGCCCGGCGAATTTTTGTTTTTAGTAGAGACGGGGTTTCACCATCTTGGCCAGGCTGGTCTAGAACTCCTGACCTTGTGATCCACCCGCCTTGGCCTCCCAAAGTCCTGGGATTACAGGTGTGAGCCACTGTGCCCAGTCTGTATATTGCAAAGTAGCTAGGAGAGAGCACTTGAAATGTTCCCAACACATAGAAATGATGAACACTCAAGAATGGTAGTTACCCCAAATGCCCCGATTTGATTGATCATTACACATTCTATGCGTGTCACAAATAATCACATGTACCCCAAACTATGTAAAATATTATGTGTCAATAAAATAAAATTTAAAAATAGATTAAGTGAAAGAAGCCAGTCACAAAGGACCACATATTAGAAGACTATTAATACCAGAATAGGGTAATCTGTAGCGGCAGAGTGTAGCTTTGTGGTTCCTTAGGGTGGGTGGGGATAGAGAGTTGGAGGGAAAGAAGAATAGAGGAGTGATACCTAAAGGGCATGGGATCTCTCTTTGAGGTGATGAAAGTGTTCTAACGCTGACTACCGTGAAATTTGCACACAACTATGAATATACTGACTATTGAATTATACACTTTAAATGGGTGAGTTGGGTGGGGTTCAGTGGCTCATGCCTCTAATTCTAGCACTTTAGGAGGCAGAGGCAGGAGGATCCCTTGAACCCAGGAGTTCCAGACCAGCCTGGGCAACACATCACCACAGCCATCTCTACCAAAAACAAAACAAACAAAACCAAAAAACAAAAGCAAAAAAAGCCCGGCGTAGTGGTGCATGCCTGTAGTCGCAGCTACTTAGCAGGTTGAGGTGGGAGGATTACCTGAGCCCAGGAGGTTGAGGCTGCAGTGAGCCATGACCGTGCCACTGCAATCCAGCCTGGGCAACAGAGCAGCCAGACCCTCTCTCAAAACTAACTAAATAGGCCGGGCGTGGTGGCTCATGCCTATAATCCAGCACTTTGAGAGGCCAAAGTGGGTGGATCACCTGAGGTCAGGAGTTCCAGACCAGAGTGGCCAACATGGTGAAACCCTGTCTCTACTAAGTAAATAAACAAACAAACAAATAAATAAATTAGCCAGGCCCACGTGGTGGCACACACCTGTAATCCCAGCTACTCGGGAGGCTGAGACAGGAGAATTGCTTGAACCCAGGAGGTGGAGGTTGCAGTGAGCCAAAATTGGGCCACTGCACTCCAGCCTGGGCAACAGAGTGAGACTCCATCTCAAAAAAACTACAGCCAGGCACAGTGGCTCATGCCTGTGATCCCAGCACTTTGGGAGGCCAAGGCAGGATGATCACCAGAGGTCAGGAGTTTGAGGCCAGCCTGACCAGTATGGTGAAACCCCGTCTCTACCAAAAATACAAAAATTAGCCAGGCATGGTGGCGGGTGCCTGTAATCTCAGCTACTCAGGAGGCTGAGGCAGGAGAATCGCTTGAACCCAGGAGGCAGAGGTTGCAGTGAGCCGAGATCACACCACTGCACTCCAGCCTGGGTGACAGAGCAAGACTCCATCTCAAAATAATAATAATAATAATTGGCTGAACATGATGACCTTTCAGGATCAAACTGTAGATGCTATTTAAAAACTATAAACCTGGTATGGTAAGTATGTGGATGTTCACTATGCAATTCTTTCAACTTTTCTATATATTTGAAATTTTTCATAATAAAATGTTGGTGTGGGAGCCTGTAGACTGTTTTTGTAATCTGAATTTTGAAAACCTCAAATCAATTCCATGATAATTCTCATGATACTGTAAGTTCCCTGAAGGTAGACACCATGTTCACATCTTCACCTCCCATATCTCTGGCGTCCATACTAGTGTCTGGGAGTATTCAGATATTCAATACACACGAATTGAATTAGTGAATCAACACATAAGTGTATTGAATGTGAAATGAATACAGAGATGAATAAGGAGCTGGTAACAATGGCCGTCTGAAGTCCTACGCCAATAGTAATCCTCAGAGATCCTCCTCAAACCTTCCTGTTCGATCTGCAAAGTAACAATAACATTAACAATTATAGCTAATATATATTGAGCGCTCACTGACTGTGAGGGGAGGCAGGTCCAGATTTTGCAGAAAGCAAAGAAGCTTATCCAATTAAGAAAAAGAGTACTAAGCTAAAAATACAAAATAAGATACGCAAGCGAACATTTAGTATGAGAAAATAAATCCCACCTAATTACATTTACAAGATGATAATTACCATATGCAACCTCCAATTACAAAGCATACAAGACATTTTTATTAATTTACAGCCTTACACAGCTCTGTAACACTTTCCTCCCTGCATCCTTCGATCTGTACTTCATACCACAACAGTTTACAGTTTAAGCAAGTTTTATTTCAGATTCAGGACAGTTGCAGATTTAGCACGGTCAAGTTTGGGAAAATCAAAATCACGTTTCTTTCAGGTATGAATTTAAGTTTACAAGGCATGGCAAACTTTTTTGAGCAGTGACTAATCTTAACTATTCTTTGAATTGTTGACACCCATTAGGTAGGGAAGTGGTCGTGCCCGCTAGGAGCCTCGGAAGCTTAAGCTTTGTTAGCTTCGTGGTAAATCCACCTGAACAGCTACGTTTAACGACTTTTAAGGGAAAGAATCATACCCGCTTTGCTACACGAAAGGGGAAATCCTGAGAGGTAAGACTGGACTCCGGCTTGGAACCGGATTGTGGGGGCCCTCCACGCCTCTCAGGACCCTTCTTGTCGTGACCTACCCCGCCTATCTTCCAAAAGAAAAACACGGAGGTTCCCAGAACGGAGAGTCGGGAGCCCCAGCTGGCTCCTGGCTGGTTCTGAGCGAGTTCCTCCCCATTCTGGCGCCTGAGGTTTTCGTCTGTGTGATGAGGTGGGCACGTCCCGATCTCCCCGTTGGTTCCCAGGGCTGTCAGAACAAAAATGAACGAGAGACAGGAAGCCCCGCTGCGGAGAGTGATCGTTTGGGGAGTTGGGGGGGCGGAGGGGTCCCCACTTACTGAAGGGGGTGGGGTGGGTCAGAGCGGAGAGCGGCTCCTTCCTCTGGGAGCCTTGTGTTTCCAGCCGGAGCGTTTTCGCAAAGGGCCCGAAACGCGCTCCTTTTTCCCAGGGACTCTCCCCAGTCACGGCCCGGGCCTTTCCTAAAAGCACTCTCACTGGCCGCCGTTTCCTCTCGGCTGGACCAGAGAGGCAGCCCGGATAGCCGACCCAACCCGCCTAGGACCCGCTGGCTCCAGTGCTGAGGAGCTTAGAGAAGGAGAAGTTGTAACAAGGCGGACGGCTGGGCCTGGGGAGATGGGGGAACCATAGAGAGGCGGGCGGGTAGAGGGGCCAGTGTGGGAGTGCAGACGAGAGGAAGCATGCGGGTAGATGGGGAAGAAGGGAAAACACTAGAGACGCGGGGCGGCTAGACGGGCTGTCATGAGCGAGATGCAGTGTGGGGCGGGCCTCTGGCCTCCGAAGGCGGGAACGGAAAACGTATCTTGGGTTGAGGGATGTTGGCATGTCGGGAGGACTTTAGTCTCAGTCCAACGCTACCAGCGTGCCCTAGAGCTGTGAACTCTTAGTCGGCTTCATATTATTTGTCACTCGTAAAACAGGAATGATTCTGTTACCGCTCAGAGTGATGAAATAAAATCATGTATGAAAGGACCAAGCATAATGCCTTTGCACAGACAATATGGGACACCTGGAAACGGCTGCTAGTATTATTTTCCCACTCCGAAGTTCTTCTGCAGCTCTGAAGTTCATCAGGGAATTAAAACCAGGCGCTCGTGCATTGAGAGAGAGAGAGAGAGAGATCTGAGGATTCCCATAGAATCACTCTCAAGGTGTCTCCGTCTCTAAAGCCTCGTCCGTAGCTCAGACCTCATTCTTTCTCATGTGGGTCACAGTATCAGCCAGCCTCCTCCTCCCTTCCCTAGTCTCTCAGCTCCCAACTCAGCCGCTTAACATACACAGACAGATCCTTTTTGTTTGTGTGTGTGTTTGTTTGTTCTGTTTGAGACGGAGTCTCGCTGTGTCGCCGGGGCTGGAGTGCAGTGGCGCAATCTCGGCTCACTGCAAGCTCTGCCTCCCGAGTTCACGCCATTCTCCCGCCTCACCCTCCCGAAAAACTGGGACTACGGGCGCCCGCCACCACGCTTGGCTAATTTTTGTATTTGTAGTAGAGACAGGGTTTCACCATGTTGGCCAGGATGGTCTCGAATTCCTGACCTCAAGTGATCCGCCTGCCTCGGCCTCCCAAAGTGCTGGGATTACAGGTATGAGCCACTGTGCCCGGCCCCTTTATCTTTTTCTTCCTTCCTTTTTTTTTTTTTTTTTTTTTTTTTTTTTTCCGAGATAGGGTCTTGCTTTGTCACCCATGCTGGTGTGCAGTGCCACAATCATCGCTCCCTGCAGCCTCGACCTCCTGGGCTCAAGCGATCCTGCCACCTCAGCCTCCTGAGTAACTTGCACTACAGGTGTTCACGCCATCACGGCTAAGTTTTGTATTTTTAGAGAGACAGGGCTTCACCATGTTGCCCAGGCTGGTCTTGAACTCCTGGGCTCAAGCAATCCTCCCACCTTGACCTCCCAAAGTGCAATCCTCCCACCTTGACCTCCAAAAGTGCTGGGATGACAGATTGACAGATGTGAGCTACCGTGTCTAGCCGCCATAATTTCTTTTTTTTTTTTTTTTTTTTTGAGAGAGAGTCTCACCCTGTCACCCAGGCTGGAGTGCAGTGGCGTGATCTCGGCTCACTGCAACCTGCACCTCCCGGGTTCAAGCAGTTCCCTGACTCAGCTTCCCGAGTAGCTGGGATTACAGGTGTCCGCCACCACACCCAGCTAATTTTTGCATTTTTAGTAGAGACGAGATTTCACCATCTTGGCCAGGCTGGGTTCAAACTCCTGACCTCCTGATCCACCCACTTCAGCATCCCAAAGTGCTGGGATTACAGGCGTGAGCCACCGCGCCCGGCCTACTGCCATAATTTCATTCAACCTCTCTGGTCCTCAGTTTCCTTATCTGTGAAATGTTAGTGCTGAATTTGAGAAACCAAGGGGCCTTCCAAATTCTAGTCGTGAGTTAGGTAAGATTCTTTAGTGAGGCTGAACGAGTCTTTGAACTTGAGTTTCTGTAGGCTAGAGGAAACAGTAGTCCCTACCTACTTCTCCCAGGTTCTAAGGTGGGTGAGATATTTTGATATTTTGGTCTTTGTCGCCCCCACGAGGCCTAGGAGTGTTCCCTCTCGCCCCAGGTGTCCAATAAAGATCAACCGCCAAGTGCTGTGGTTCAGGCCTGTAATCTCCGCACTTTGGGAGGCCAAGGAGGGCGGATCACCTGAGGTCAGGAGTTCGAGACCAGCCTGATCAACATGGAGAAACCCCCGTCTCTACTAAAAATACAAATTAGCCCGGCGTGGTGGCACGTGCCTGTAATCCCAGCTACTCCGGAGGCTGAGGCAGGAGAATCGCTTGAACCCGGGAGACGGAGGTTGCAGTGAGGTGTGCTGAGATCATGCCATTGCACTCCAGCTTGGGCAACGAGAGCGAAACTCCGTCTCCAGAAAAAAAAAAAAAAAAAAGTTAGAAAGATTTACTTGCCACCTAGGGTAACTGCTGGTCTTCTTTCCCCTATTAGTGTAACTCAGGAGGCGGGTAATCTATTTCAACTCTGCACCTGCTGGACTTTGTGAATGGGGAGTTTACTCTCTGGTCTCAGTAGCCCCATCGATAAAAGGGAATAACTTATCTCCTCCTTGTCAACAGCCAGATGGTGGTGATTTGCCAAATCTAAGACATCTATTTTCTTGCCTTGTTCTTCTTTATTTTTTCCCTCTCACTTTTAAAACTGGATAGTCCCAAGACTTCTCCCAAACCAGGGTGAGTTGCTCACCTAGTTTGTCCTCACTTGTATCCTTAAGTGCAAACTGTCATTACCTTATTGACCACCAGGGGGTGCCCTACACATATAGTACTGTGGTTAAAGAAGCTGGCTCAGGAGAAGGCCCAGTTCCCAGCCTTGCCCTGAGTTCCTACAAACCTTCAAGGGCCTGCTCTACTTCACAGAGCATCATGTCTCACACTCAGCATCCTCCTGGCCTTAGGATATGAACATGTGTGTGGTCCTGTGGAAAAGTCTTTAAGTACTCCAGCCGCCTCTGCCAACACTGGATAACCACCTGGGTGGATGATCACTGACTCTCTGTCCATTGTTCCCAACATTTCCAGGAGGTGGCTCAGCATATCCCAGCTGGCTGCGGAGGCTGAGGCTCCTCCCTTCCTTCCTTCCTTCCCTCCCTCCCTCCCTCCTTCCCTCCTTCCTTCCTTGCCGGAGTTTCGCTTTTTTTTTCTTTTTCTTTGAGACGGAGTCTCGCTCTGTCGCCCAGGCTGGAGTGCGGTGGCCCGATCTCGGCTCACTGCAAGCTCTGCCTCCCGGGTTCTCGCCATTCTTCTGCCTCAGCCTCTTCAGCAGCTGGGACTACAGTCGCCCGCTGCCATGCCCGGCTAAATTTTTTGTATTTTTAGTAGAGACAGGGTTTCACCGTGTTGGCCAGGATGGTCTCAATCTCCTGACCTCGTGATTCGCCCGCTTCGGGCTCCCAAAGTGCTGGGATTACAGGCGTGAGCCACCACGCCCGGCCAGGGGTTTCGCTCTTGTTGCCCAGGCTGGAGTGCAATGGCGCCATCTCCGCTCACTGCAACTTCCGCCTCTCGGGTTCAAGCGATTCTCCTGCCTCAGCCTCCCGAGTAGCTGGGATTAGAGGCATGTGCCACGTCGCCCTGCTAATTTTGTGTTTTTAGTAGAGATGGGGTTTCTCCATGTTGGTCAGGCTGGTCTCGAACTCCCGACCTCAAGTGATCCTCCCGCCTCAGCTTCCCAAAGTGCTGGGATTACAGGTGTGAGCCACCGTGCCCGGCCAGGAAAGATTTTCTAGAGTAGGAAAGACAGCATAAAGTATTTCTAGAAATCGGACCTGAAATCAGAAAGGTCTAGCGATTTGTCTATTGCTACAGAGCAAAGGCAGAGGGCGGAAATTCTTCAACTCATGAGATAGTTGAAGACAGGCCCTAACTCTTGATATGCTCCATGGCAAGAAAATGGAGTACCATATCCCCATTGGTTAGGTGGTAATGCCAAGGCCATAGAGGGGCAGTCATTGGCCCTGGATCACACTGCTAGTCAAAGCTGGCTAGTAGGATGTAAAGGAAAATAAAAGTCTCAGGGCTGCCAAATTCATTATGCCCAAGGTGAGCCTGGAGACTGAGTCATGCAACACTGCTGTCTGCTTCCCAAACTGCTGTCATTGCTTCCCAACTGCTGTTGTTGCTTCACAACCCGGTGTCAAAGCATTACACATTAGCCAGACCTTCACAGAAAGACAAAAGGCCTCAGGCATCTCCACAGGACCACCAGTACAGATTGTTCTTTGCTGTCCATAAAACAAGAAAATGGACCGGGTGCTGTGGCTTATGCCTGTAATCCCAATAATTTGGGAGGTGGAGGCGGGCAGATCACCTGAGGTCAGAAGTTCCAGACCAGCCTGGCCAACATGGTGAAATCCCGTCTCTAGTAAAAAAAAAAAAATACAAAAACAAACAAACAAACAAAAACAATTAGCCGGGTGTGGTGACCCACACCTGCAATCCCAGCTACTTGGGTAGGCCCAGGCAGGAGAATAGCTTGAACCTGGGAGCTGGAGGTTCCAGTGAGCCAAGATGGCGCCACTGCACTCCAGTGTGGATGACAGAGTGACTCTGTCTCAAATAATAATAATAATAATAATAATAATAATAATAAAAATAAAAAGAACATGTCCCTTGTAACTTTAGGTCTGCAATCTAAGTCTAGTTCCTAAAACTAAAGTGTTTGATTTCACACTGATAATGCTTATCTTCCCAGGTACAGAACAAAAACGATGAGCTCAATCATTGTTGAGGTGGGTGGATCACTTGAGGTCAGGAGGTCAAGGCCAGCCTGGACAATATGGTGAAACCCCGTGTCTACTAAAAATACAAAAAAATCAGCCGGGCGTAGTGGCGGACGCCTGCAATCTCAGCTAGTCGGGAGGCTGAGGCAGGAGAATAGCTTGAACCCGGAGATGCGGGGGTTGCAGCGAGCCGAGATCACTCCGGTGAACTCCTGCACTCCAGCCTGGGCAACAGAGCGTGACTCCGTCTCAAAAAAAAAAAAAAAGAAAAGTCCTTTTTTTTTTTTTGACAAAAGCCATCTCTGTTGTATTTCCTCCCTCAGCATCCGGCACGGCGCCAAAGAGTGATTTCATTTTAACTTTTGTGTAGTATGTGTGGAGTAGCAAGCTGTGCGACGCAGGAACCTTTCTCTTGTGGGTGCGTTTCCGGACGGAGTGCTTTCCTGCTGCTCCCCGAATCCGGAAGCTGCCGGAGAAGTCGGAGGATCCCGGAAGTCGTCCCTGCGGCCACTTCCGGATGTGAAAGTTTGCTGCGTAGGGCTAGGGAGACCGTGCCGGACTGCGGGGAGTGAACAGGTTCAGCAGTGACGGCATTCTTAAGAGTCCTGCCCAAGTGAGGGATTTGGGGTGTGGGACAGAGTGGTCCCCAGGGCAGTGGGCATTGGAAACTGAGAGGCCCCGCGAAGGAGGCTTGGGGAGGGGCTGCGGAGACCAGGGGACGAGGTATAGGAAGAGGAGGGCAGAAAGCCTTGGGAGTGGCCTTGGATCCAGTTGCCCGAGAGGCACAGGCCTGGGACTCACTGTGTTTCCCAAGGGGAGAAGGGGCTATTTCCCATAGGAAGACAGAGTGGGATGAAAGTGGACCTTGAGGCCGGGCGCGGTGGCTCAAGCCTGTAATCCCAGCACTTTGGGAGGCCGAGACGGGCGGATCATGAGGTCAGGAGATCGAGACCATCCTGGCTAACACGGTGAAACCCGTCTCTACTAACCATACAAAAAAACTAGCCGGGCGAAGTGGTGGGTGCCTGTAGTCCCAGCTACTCGGGAGGCTGAGGCAGGAGAATGGCGTGAACCCGAGAGGAGGAGCTTGCAGTGAGCTGAGATCCGGCCACTGCACTCCAGCGTGGGTGACACAGCAAGACTCCATCTCAAAAAAAAAAAAAAAAAAAGAAAGTGGACCTTGAGAAGAGGGGGTGGCCAAGAAAAGGTTCCTGAAGGAGGCAGGACCCAGACTGCAGGCTGGGGAGGGTTTGGGCAGCCAGAGGGAGGTGAGGGTGCTGGAGCGGGGGTCACTCGGTCACTCTGGCCGGAGATCTGAGCGGCTTCTGCTCCCTCTGCGCTGTGGAGTGCATCTGTTTGCCAGCCTCGCTGGACCGTTGAGAGGATTCATCGAGACCCTGGATATGAATATGCAGTGTGAACTGAAGTTTGGGGACATGAGTAATCAGTCACAGTGGCCCAAGATTTGAGGTGTAAATGGAGAAGTCAATGATTCGCTGCAGCTGTCTGGAACAGGTTGGGTGAGGGCAAAGGGTGGGAAAGGTGGCTGAGGTCAGGTTGGGCGAGGCCTTTCATGCCAGGCTGAGAGGCTTATACTGTAGGGAGGATTTTAAGCAGAGGAGCTGGTGGACTGGTGAGCAGAGCATATAGGTGACACTTAGCCAACTTGAGAGGTCAGAATACATGATTCCAGAAGGCTAAGGAGAAGGCTGCCAGTAAAGGGGAAGAATTCTCAGGGCGAGGAAAACACAGAAGCCTTTGCGGGTGGAGCTATGTAAATTCAAGGTCTGGCCAGGGGCCTGTGAGATGCCGTGTGTGCTTGGAGTACAGGAATGAGAAGTGAGGTGGGGAAGTGGCTGGGCCACCTCACAAAGGGTCTCAGAGTCTAGGCTGAGAAACTCGGACTTGGTCCTGAGGGTAAAGGGGGCCAGGAGAATGTTATGCATGGTGCTGAGGTTGCATTCAACACAGCTGTGAGAAGAACCCGTGGTGGTCAGGCCAGTGTGGGGGAGGAACTGGAGGCCAGGGTAACAGGGAGAAGGCTGGTGTGGTGGTCCAGGTGAGAAGGAAGGGGCCAGAACTTCGTTTGGAGAACGCAGGGCATTGCCCAGCTCTTGGAGAACGGAGGGGAGTGCCCTCAGGGGGTGGAGGTGATGGAACTTGGTGCTTGTCTGACTTTGGGGAGTGAGGGAGGGGGAGGAAATGGGGACATTCAAAGTTCTAGATGGCGGGACAAGAATTTTGTCTAGATGGTGTGGCTTCCCGATGATCATGTCTTGGGGGTGAGCAGGGGTTCTCTTTGTTGGGGAGCTGGGTAGGGAGGTAATGCTTGACTTTTGGATGGGGCGATCAAATTCATTCATTCATTCAACCAATATCGAATTGATTCCCTACCCTTTCCTGAGACTTTTGATAGATTCTGAGGGTAGAATATTGACCAGGATGGAGCTGGGCCTTGGAGACTGGGGAAGGCAGGCAGTCACACAGCAGGCAGTAGATTGACGAGGCCATGATGGATCGTGCTGTGGGATGTGAAGGAAACGAACAGACGGAGGACACCGAGCAGGGCACCTCGAGCTAACATGGTCACTAAAGGCTGCTGTGACCTGGTGTTCTGTGAGCTGAAACCTGAAGGCCAGGAAGGAGCCACTCTTATGAGGAGCTGAAAGTAACATCACAGAGAGGGGAAGAGCAAGCACAAAGGCTCTCCAGATGGGAAAGGCCGGTGCATCAGGCAAGGGAGAGGCAGCACCATGATGCCCAGAAGGGAAGGCAGCTGCGGGGGCAGTCTATGCAGGGCCTTGCAGTGTCTGGGTTTACTCTAAGGGCAGAAGGGAAGGTTTAGATCATAATGCACTGCATTCTGTAACTCCTGGGCTCAGGCAGTCCTCCTGTCTCAGCTTCGTGGGTAGTTGGGACTGTAGGCAGGCACCACCGCCTCTGCCTAATTATTGTTACTTTTTTGGAGAGACAGGGTCTCAATATGTTGCTCAGTCTCAGAAGGGAAGGTTTTAAGTCAGGGAATGATTCTATGAGCTTAAAAAATCACTTGGACCGGGCGCGGTGGCTCAAGCCTGTAATCCCAGCACTTTGGGAGGCCGAGACGGGCGGATCACGAGGTCAGGAGATCAAGACCATCCTGGCTAACTCGGTGAAACCCCGTCTCTACTAAAAAATACAAAAATCTAGCCGGGCGAGGTGGCGGGCGCCTGTAGTCCCAGCTACTCGGGAGGCTGAGGCAGGAGAATGGCGTGAACCCGGGAGGCGGAGCTTGCAGTGAGCTGAGATCCGGCCACTGCACTCCAGCCTGGGCGACAGAGCGAAACTCCGCCTCAAAAAAAAAAAAAAAAAAAAAATCACTTGGAAATTGCCACAAGGAAGGGAGGGAGAAGGCCAGGCATGATGGCTTACGCCTATAATCCCAGGACTTTGGGAGACTGAGGCAGGTGGATGCTGGAGGCCAGGCGTTCGAGACCAGTCTGGGCAACACGGTGAAACCCTGTCTCTTCTAAAATTACAAAAAGGTAGCTGGCTGTGGTGGTGCACGCCTGTAATCCCAGCTACTCAGGAGGCTGAGGTGGGAGAATTGCTTGAACCTGGGAGGTGGAGGCTGCCGTGAGCCGAGATCGCACCACTGCACTCCAGCCTGGGTGACAGAGCGAGACTCTGTCTGAAAAAAGAAACAGCAACAAAAAAACGAGAGGGGAGGGAGAGTGATGGAGGGGAGGCTGCTGCTGCTATAAGCTGGGGGTAATTGGTGGTGGTTGGCGCTGGGGTGGCAGTGGCGATGGTGGGGTTCCAGGGAAACGTGTGGCTTGCTGACAGGGTCATGTGCACTGACCCAGTGCGGGCAGAGGCAGGTGCCGTCCTGGCCATCTCGCTTGCGGATATGTGACCTCAGGCTAATCACACGATCTCTTTGAGCTCTGCTTCCCTCATCTGTAAAACAGGGATCCTCATGGTACTTTCCTTGTAGCTCTGCCCTGAGGATGCTGTGCATTTAGCAATGGCTGTTCCCGAATGAGGGCTCAATAAATGGTGGTTATTGTTGTCATTATTTCCGGGGACAGCAGTGGGGGTGGGGGTTGTGGCCACTACAATGCCAATAGTTATATGGTCTGAAACTCAAGAGAGGGATTGTGTTAGTTTCATTGCGTCTCTATGAGTGAATACTGGAGGCTGGGTAATTTAGAAAAGAGGTTTAATTGGCTCATGCTTCTGCAGGCTGTACAGGATGTGTGGTCCTGGCAGCTGTTTCTGGCGAGGGCTTCAGGAAGCTTACAATCATGGTGGAAGGTAAAGGGGTGGTTGGCATATTACATGGTGGGGGAAAAGACTGGTGAGAGGTGACACGCTTTTGTTTTGTTTTGTTTTGTTTTTGAGATGGAGTCTTGCTCTGTTGCCAGGGTGGTGTGCAGTGGTATAATCTTGGTTCACTGCAACTTCTGCATCCCAGGTTCAAGTGATTCTCCTGCCTCAGCCTCCCGAGTAGCTGGGACTACAGGCGCCCGCCACCACTCCCAGCTACTTTTTGTATTTTGAGTAGAGATGGGGTTACACCATGTTGGCCAGGATGGTGTCGATCTCTTGACCTCATGATCCGCCTGCCTCACCCTCCCAAAGTGTTGGGATTACAGGTGTGAGCCACTGCGTCCGGCCTGACATGCTCTTTTAAACAACTAGATCTCGTGAACTCAGCGAGATCTCAGTCATTACCTCAAGGATGGCACCAAGCCATTCATGAAGGATCCACCCCCATGATCCAGATGCCTCCCACCAAGCCCCATCTCCAACATTGGGGATTACATTTCAACATGAGATTTGGAGGAGGCCAGGTGTGGTGGCTCAACCCTGTAGTCCCAGCACTTTGGGAGGCCGAGGCAGGTGGATCACCTGAGGTCAGGAGTTGGAGACCAGGTGGTCAATATGGTGGAACCTCGTCTCTACCAAAAATATAAAATTAGCCGGGAGTGGTAGTGCATGCCTGTAATCTCAGCTATTTGGGAGGCTGATGCAGAAGAATCGACTGAGCCCGGGAGTTGGAGGTTGCAGTAAGCCAGTGGTTGTGCCACTGCACTTTAGCCTGGGCAACAGAGCAAGACTCCATCTCCAAAAAAAAAAAAAAAATTGGAGGGGACAAACCTTGTAACTGTATCAGGGATGTGGGCAAGAGACTCAGGTTGGGTAATTGTCCAAGTAGACCAGGGGTTCTCAACCAGGAGCAATTGTTGCCCCCTAGGGGACATGGGCAATGTCTAGAGACATTTTGCGTTGTCACGACTGGGGTTGGGGAAGGGTGCTACTGGCATCTGGTGGGTGGATGCTGCTCAACACCCTACAGTGCACAGGATGGTCCCCCACAACAAAGAGTGGTCTGGCTCAAAATGTGTGGTGGCCCACGCCTGTAGTCCCAGCTGCTTAGGAGACTGAAGTGGAAAAGGATCACTTGCACCTGGGAGGTTGAGGGTGCAGTGAGCCAGAAGCACGCCACTGCACTCCAGCCTGGGTGACAGAGTGAGACTCTGTCTCAAAAAATATGCATACCGCCCAGTGAAATGTTTAAAAAGTACCTTGTGTTCCAAACCAAATATAACTGTGAGGCCTTTTGGGCCCTCGGGCCTCCAGTTTACAACTGGTTGACGGCGGTCTCTGGAGTTGTTTCATAAGGCAGGAGCCACATGTGGCTTAAATTTTGATTATGGGAAATTGTTACTTTTTGAGAGTCTCCCTCTGTTGCCCAGGCTGCAGTGTAGTGGCACGATCTTGGCACACTGCAACCTCCACCTCCTAGGTTCAAGCAATTCTCCTGCCTCAGCCTCCCAAGTAGCTGGGACTGAAGGGGGGCACCACTACACCCGGCTAATTTTTGTATTTTTAGTAGAGATGGAGTTTCACCATGTTGGCCAGGCTGGTCTCGAACTCTTGACGTCAGGTGATCCGCCCGCCATGGCCTCCGAAAGTGCTGGGGTTACAGGCGTGAGCCACTGTGCTGATTATTGGAAATTTAATACAATTTAAAATTCAGGTCCTCTGATACACCAGCCACATTTCAAGAGTGTAAGAGTCCCACGTGGCTAGTGACCGTCATAGAACTTTGTACCACTGCAGAAAGTTCTGATGGACAGTGCTCTAGGACGTAGCGGTGGCACCCCCGGGGTCCTGGGGCTGGCTGCAACTGTTACTCCTCTTCTGTCCCCCACTCCCAGCTGCACCTGCAGATGCTGTTGCTGCCACCCTCCTGCGAGGCCGCGGCGCCACGTGGCTGGAGGAGGAGCTGCAGCGGCCGCGTGTGCAGCTCTCCAGTGCAGCTGCAGCGCCACCGCGCGTTGCTTTCGACGCCCGAGTCCTTGGCATGCGCAGCCAGCGCCCGGGCCTCAAGTGCGCCAGGACCTGGCGGGGCCCGCGAGCCCGCATCAGGCTTCCAGTGGGCCCCGTGGGCAGTGCCAGCCTTTCCCACCTCCGCATCTGGCAAGGCCTGGCCTTCGCTGCGCCTCGGTGTCCCCATGTGCCTTCTGGAAATACCGCACCTCCCCACCTGCGCACGTAGCCGTGTGGCCCTCTGTGGGCCTGGGTTCTCGCATGTGCCCTGTGGGAAGCACACACCCTCCCCAACTATCTGGCAGCATCTGGCCTTCTCCGGGCCTCGGTCTCCCCATTTGCTGGGTGGAGAATCACGGCCCGGCCGCATCGGAGCCAATGGCTGGCGTCTGGACCTCGGTCTCCACATTTGCCCAGCCGGCAGGAACATCCCTTCTCCCACCCTCTACCTCGGTGGGTGGCCACGGCCGAGCAGACAGCGACGGCCCAGTGGAAAGAGGACAAACCCTTGTGGGCCTTCGGGCAAAGACGTAACTTTGCTTAGTCTCGGTTTATTGGCCGATTTCTTGTCAAGCGGCGGAATTGTTCCAGTCCGGAGGCGGGAGGGGAGCGGGGCCGCCGGGGGCGGGCGTCTTCAGCGAGCCCCGCGCCTCCGGTCCCCTCCCCGCAGGGCGCTCCGCAGAGCCGAGGGGTGGGAGCGCCGGCTCCAGGCGGCGGAACCTCCGCACGGGGCTCGCGCGCTTCCGGCCGGCGCCTTTTCCCAGGGACGCAGCCAACCCCTCGCACCCCCGCGCCCGCGCCCCCAGTCCCCGCGTCCCCGGCGCCGCCGGCCCGGAGCTGCCCGGAAGTCTCGGTTCCGCCGCCGGCGCTCGCCAGGGGAAGTCCCGGGCCGCCCGGGACCTCGGCCCGCTCCTCCGGACCCGAGAGGCCGCCGCACGGGGTACGGGGGCCGGGATGGAGGGAGGAGCCTGGCCCCGGGACGACGCTGAGGCCGGGCAGGCTGGGGGAGTGCGCTGGAGCCGCCCGGGATGGGGATGGGGGTGGGGGTGGGGAGCAGCAGGGTCGGGCGGAGGGACGGGAGGCGCCAAGGCTCCTTGGGGAAGTGAGGGCAATAGGAGGGGCCCCGGGGCCGGGAGGCGGGGGGCGGTGTGTAGCGGGATGGGGGCGAAAACGCCCGGGTGCTGGGGTTCCCAGAAACAAGGGGAGTAGAGCAAAAGAACGGGCGGGGGCCATGCTGTGTGTAACAGGGAGAGGGATGGGGCTCCTGGAAGAGGTGAAGAAGAGGAGAGATGCCAGATGTACACAGAAAGGAGGGGAAGTGGGCTTGGGAGAGGTGCTGTGGGAAGCGGAGTCCCGGGGCCCGGTGTGCATAACGGGGTTTGGGAGAAGGCCCCTGATGGGTACAGAAAGAAGTAACGATGTCACCGCCATATATAGGGGCGGGGGAGAAAAGGGGGCCCTTGGGGAGAATGTAGCAGGTAGCCAGGTTGGGAGGGCGGGGTATACAGAAGGAAGGCATTTGAGTCATCTTGGGGTGTATAGATGTAGTGAGACGAGGGGTTCCGCAGTGAGTAGAGGTGGCTAGACTTCGAGGTGCTGCTAAGTGTAGGAACAGGATGGAAAAGCCCTAGTGAAATGTGGGGAATTGGGTTAGTGGGGCTCTGGGGAGGTACCTAGAGAGGAAGTGAGGGAGGCCATGGAATATGAAGATGGGGAGGCCCTGTGGCACGTAGTGGGGATGGAGTCCCAGGAGGGCCTGGAGGCCGATGCGGGGGCTGGTTGGGCGGGGGGTGCGGCAGAGGGAGGGGAAGCAACCTGAACTGGGGCTGGGCAACAGGGAAAGAAGAAACCACAGATTAGAGAAATCTCGGCGATCAGCAGGGCCGGGGTGTGAGATGTAAAGAGGTAAACAGATTGAGGGATTGATTGCTGGGGTGGGTTGAGAGAAGAAAAGGGAAGAAAAGTGGGGGGACTACGCCCTCAGACCTGACCTGGGTGCTGAGAGGTGGATCCAGGAGTGGCAAGTGGTGGCGGGGTTTTGCAGAGCTCAATTGGATGTCCTCTCCGAGGCAGCTTGATGGAACGTGGGAGAGCTGGGCTGGAGTGAGTTGTTATTTTGCTGGGGAGGTGGTCAGTGGCGCACAAAGGGTAACAAGCAGCGATAGTGGGGACGCTTTCCATTTTAGGAAGCTTTTCCTAAAAGGAAGTGGCAATTTTAACTAATCTCCCCTCCGCCGCTCCCAGCTGCCGCTCCAGATGCTGCTGCTGCCGCCGCGGCCACCCCACCCTCGGTCCTCCTCTCCGGAGGCCATGGACCCACCGCCCCCCAAGGCTCCCCCTTTCCCCAAGGCGGAAGGCCCCTCCTCCACTCCTTCCTCGGCGGCGGGGCCCCGACCCCCGCGGCTGGGCCGCCACCTCCTCATCGACGCCAATGGGGTCCCCTACACATACACGGTGCAGCTGGAGGAGGAGCCCCGGGGCCCGCCCCAGCGCGAGGCGCCCCCAGGAGAGCCCGGCCCTCGCAAGGGCTACAGCTGCCCGGAGTGCGCCCGTGTCTTTGCCAGCCCTCTGCGGCTGCAGAGCCACCGCGTGTCGCACTCGGACCTCAAGCCCTTCACGTGCGGCGCCTGCGGCAAGGCCTTCAAGCGCTCCAGCCACCTGTCGCGGCATCGCGCCACGCACCGCGCCCGCGCCGGGCCGCCGCACACCTGCCCGCTCTGCCCACGCCGCTTCCAAGACCCCGCGGAGCTGGCGCAGCACGTGCGCCTCCACTAAGCTCGAGACCCGGCTTGAGCTGCCCTGCCCCTCTCAGGGCCACGAAGTCTGACCCACACAGCGTCACTCACTCCCACACACACTCCCTGGCTCCGCTGAGGTTACTGCCTTACCCTGGGCCTCAGTTTCCCCACCTTCCAAAGGGAGGAGCATCATTCCTTCCTTACCCCCTTTCTAGCTGTGTGATGTAGACCAAAGTCGTTGCCCCTCCCTGGGCCTGGGAACCAGTCGGAACTGGGTTCCGGTCCAGCTGTGCTGTGTGAGCCTTTGCAAGTGACATGACCTCTCTAAACCTTGGTTTTCTGCTCTCTGGAGCGGTGAACCGGTGGTTGTCTGCGGGGAAGAGATGATAAAGAGCACGGGCACGGTCTGGTTCATTTCTGTATCTACCCCCCTTCCGCCCACGCCCCCCACCCTTTGCTCAATAAACATTCCGCACTTCATTTTCAAGCTCTTCCTTGCGTGTACGTGCGCGTTGGGTGCTGGGGGGTGGAGACCGGATCTTCCTCGCTTGGGTACTTTCCGCTCGGTGTGTGTTTCTGGCCGGAGCCGTTTCGCGACGGCCCGGGCGCCCCGCCCCCACCTTCCTTCCCTAGGCCCTTTCCTCTCCCTTCGGCTTCTCTCTTTCGGCCGGCGCCGCCAGCTCCTAGGGCACACCCAGAGGTCCCCTTCCCGCCGCCGCCTGCAACTGCGAGGGTAGCCCGGGGCCGCTTGGAGTCGCCCGGACCTGAGAGGCTGCTGCACTGGGTACGGGGGCCGGGAAGAGGGAGGGGGCTGGGAGCGGGCGGCGGGAGGGGCTGGACCGCGTGGAGGGTACCTGGGCCGGGGCGGGAGTGGGGCAGGAGCCGGAGGAGGCTCTTCGGGAGCTTGCAGGGGGCGAGAACTTACACAGAAAGGCCCAGAAAGCGAGGGCTGTGGCCCCGGGGGTGGAACCCCGCGAGCGCTGGGACCTAGAACGAGCCTGGTGGTGGCCGGGCGAGCACTAGAGAGAGCCTGAGGTGGGTGGACGGGTGGGAGCACGGAGTTGTTCAGACACGTCGCCGGAGAGAGGGCCAGAACCTGGGGGTCCTCACGTCGGAGCCCCTGTGAATAGGTTTGGCTTGTATGGAGGCGGTCAGGAAAGGCTTGAGTATGTAGGATGGGCCAACACGCAGACCCTGGAAAGGGCTAGAAGGAGGGGAGGGAGAGGCCTGGAGGCCTGCGGGGTGGGGCACCCACTGACCTGGGAGGCCACAAAGAGGAAAGTTAGAGCGAGGTCCAGGTTGTGCAGAGCAGGGCAAGAGATCCTGTGAGTACAGTGTGTGGTGGAGCACCGAGGCTAGGAGAGCTTTTCCAAGGAGGGAAACCCTGGGGACCTTTTAGGGGGTCACAGAGTCCAGCTGTGAGTGGGACTGGAGAAGAGGCACTGAGGGCAGCAGGATGTAGAGGTCCTGGGCCGTTTAAAGGGAGGGAAAAGGATGGAGCCTGCGGTGCTGAGCTGCCCTCTTCTATATAACCTTATCCCATCTCCCATCCACCAGGCCTCAGCCAGCCCTCCGGATGCTGGTGCTGCCATCCCCCTGCCCTCAGCCTCTGGCATTTTCCTCCGTTGAGACCATGGAGGGCCCTCCCCGTCGGACATGCCGCTCCCCAGAACCTGGACCTTCCTCCTCCATCGGATCTCCCCAGGCTTCATCTCCTCCAAGGCCCAACCACTACCTGCTCATTGACACTCAGGGTGTCCCCTACACAGTGCTGGTGGACGAGGAGTCACAGAGGGAGCCAGGGGCCAATGGGGCTTCAGGCCAGAAAAAGTGCTACAGCTGCCCCGTGTGCTCAAGGGTCTTCGAATACATGTCCTACCTTCAGCGACACAGCATCACCCACTCGGAGGTAAAGCCCTTCGAGTGCGACATCTGTGGGAAGGCATTCAAGCGCGCCAGCCACTTGGCACGGCACCATTCCATTCACCTGGCGGGTGGTGGGCGGCCCCACGGCTGCCCGCTCTGCCCTCGCCGCTTCCGGGATGCGGGTGAGCTGGCCCAGCACAGCCGGGTGCACTCTGGGGAACGCCCATTTCAGTGTCCACACTGCCCTCGCCGCTTTATGGAGCAGAACACGCTGCAGAAGCACACGCGGTGGAAGCATCCGTGAGCTGGGCTGCCGGGTGCCCCAGGTACCACAGGACTTTGCAGGGAGCCTGGACTCCTGTCCAGACACCTGGTGAGAGCCCGAGGCTGGTGTTCAGGGCCCCGGACACAGACACAGAGCAGCCGCATCTCAAAGGCAGAGCCCTGCCTGAAGGAGGAATCCGTGAGTAATCTTCAGGTCCTCCGTGTTGTGGAGCTGAGATGGGAATGAGCCCCTACACAAAATGGAGTCCTCTAGCCTAAAGATATCAGCTGTTCCGTGGCAGAGCCTTGACTGGATGCGGGTGGGGAGTGTCGTGTGTAAAGTCTCTGGCCTCATAAAAGATGGCTGTGGGTCATCAGGAATCTGTGCCATCTTCCTGAGGCTTCTGTGCTGTTGTTGGGGAAGGGACCCCAGTCCTGCCTTCCACCCCCCAACCAGGCCTGAGACCGATCAAACAATAAACGCGTTTCCCACCCTGAGCACTCGAGGTTTGTTTTTAGAGACGGCATCTCAGACCCTCTTTGGTGGCTGCCTAGCAGGGAGACCTCAGCTTGCCTGGCTGGGGAATGGGAAGGTTGGCCTGCCTTGGGGTTATCCCCTCCTCAGCTCCTGAAGACCTGGGTCATCTGGGAAGAATGTTTTTAAGCTGAAACAATTTTAAAACCACAACCTCCTATCACAAACACATTTTATATGGTAATAGAGTACACAGATATGCAAAATATATGTGAACCAAGTTTCCTTCCCCTTTTTTTTTAGATGGAGTTTCACTCTTGTCACCCAGGCTGGAGTGTAATGGCATGATCTCGGCTCACTGCAGCCTTCACATCCTGGGTTCAAGCGATTCTCCTGCTTCAGCCTCCCAAGTAATTAGGGTTACAAGCGTGTGCCACCATGCCCGGCTAATTTTGTACCTTTAGTAGAGATGGGTTTCACCACGTTGGCCAGGCTGGTCTCGAACTCCTGACCTCAGGTGATCCACACACCTCAGCCTCCCTTAGGACCCTGGGCCTGGAAACAAAAGTTTCTTTACCATAGTTAGCTTTAGTATGTGTAGATTTTTTTTCATTAGCTATTATTATTTGAGACGAGTCTCGCAGTGTCGCCCAGGCTGGAGCAGTGGTGCAATCTCCGCTCACTGCAACCTCCACCTCCCCGGTTCAAGCGATTCTCCTGCCTCAGCCTCTTGAGTAGCTGGGATTACAGGCGCGCACAACCACGCCCGGCTACATTTTTTTTTTTTTTTTTGAGACGGAGTCTCGCTCTGTCGCCCGGGCTGGAGTGCAGTGGCTGGATCTCAGCTCACTGCAAGCTCCGCCTCCCGGGTTTACACCATTCACCTGCCTCGGTCTCCCGAGTAGCTGGGACTACAAGCGCCCGCCACCTAGCCCGGCTAGTTTTTTGTATTTTTTAGTAGAGACGGGGTTTCACCGTGTTAGCCAGGATGGTCTCGATCTCCGGACCTCGTGATCTGCCCGTCTCGGCCTCCCAAAGTGCTGGGATTACAGGCTTGAGCCACCGCGCCCGGCCGCGGCCATATTTTTTTAAACTGCTGATTTCATGCTCTTCTATTCAATTCTCCACCCATGAACCTATAGTTTGGAAAAGACTAATCTAGGGCAGGTGGCTCCCCCTGGAATTTTTGGACCAGGCTGCAGTTTATCTGTGAAGTGAAGTGGGGAGGGGAGGATCATGGGTACAGCTTTGCAGGCGGTGCAGATGTTTAGATTCTCCCTCTATCCTAAGGGCTGGCCAGAGTCCAGATCATGGATGCTTCTGGTGAACAGGAGAGGCAGGTGGAGCTGAGCCTGAAGCTAAATAAACATCTATTATTAATTCATTTTTCTTGCCTGTCTGTGCCAGGCACTGTGCTAGGCCTCATTTGCTCTTCCGACCTCTTTTTTTTGGGAGGAAGAACAAATCGTCCGTTCGTACTCCCCAGAGTGGGAAAGGAAAGAGCCTGCCAGAGGCTGCGATCATACCCCACCATCTGACCTCAAATCATACCAGCAGCGCTCCTCTCTCAAGCCCTGACTATGGCCAGGTGCTGGGCTGAGCTGTGTGTCCCATCACAGCATCCTCACAAGAAATGTAGAGGGGCTTGTAATTTCCCCATTTTGCAGGTGAGTTAACAGGCTGGGGAGAAGCAGGAACAGTCAGGACTGGAATCTAGCTCTGTTCCAAAGGCAGCTCTTAATTACCAACATGCGGGTGAGGGTGGCGTGTTTCTGGCCCTCATTTTTCGGGAGGGGGTAACTCCCCCCATTTTGGCCCCCACATCCCTGAGAACCTTGGGGTCTGGCTGTAGGAGGTGGGGGAGCTCTGGGGGGTCTGCGCTGGCTAGTTCCTGAGATCGTTAAAAGTAGATTCTCCTTTCGCTCCAACCTTCCCGGTGTCTCACACACTCCTGCCTTCTCTTGGGCCCACTGGGCCCACCGCCACCCAACCCGTGGACCCCCGAAGGCTCGCCAGCTCTCCAGGATGGGAATTTCGTGACGTTCCCTGCCTGAGCTTCGGGGAGGGCGGGGGAGTGCTGTAAGGGGCTATCGCGCAAGTGCAGACCCTCTGCTTCTGCCGCAAACGGCGGGCCTCACCTAGACCCGGGGACTCGCCGACGAGGGGCGCTAGCCTGGCCCCACTGGGCGAATCCCCGCGTCCGTACCCGTTCCGTCGCTCAGTTCCACGACTCGCTCCCCTGCCGCCCCGCCTGTTCGCGGGTGGGTGGGCGCTTCCCTTGGCTCCCCGTGACACTTTGCAGACGCTCCCCGGCGCCGGGCATGGGCGCCGCCGCCGTCGGTCCCCGAGTCGGATTCCGCGCGCGGGTGGGTGAGCGCGGGAGGCCTCGGCCCCTCGGACCCCGGGCACCCGCGGGCGGGGGATGGTGACCGTATTTGCACCCCCGCCCTGATGCATTCCCCCGCTGGGATCTTTCCACGACTGGCCCCCTCCCACCCCCGGGACAAAGGGCGGGGGCGGCGCATCCCCACGCGTGACCTTTCCCTGTACTGCGCACGCGCCCAGCCCCCACCACCGGGGGAGGGTCCGCACGCCCACGCGACTGCGGGGGAGGGGTGTGGGGCCCCGGAGGTAGGGGAGGCAGCGCGCACGGGCTGGACCTCCTCCTACCCTGGGAAGTTGGGGCAGTTTCCCTCTGCACCTGCCTCTTCCTTAGGCCTGGCGGTGGCCCGCGATGAGAGAGAGTCCTTCCCCTTCAGACCAGGTGTCCCTGTCAGGCGACCTCTTGGGGCACCCAGCAATTTAGGGCTTCAGCTTCCTTTTCCTTCGATACCCAGGAGCCCACGTCCCCAGCTCACTTCTCCCCCAGGACCTCGGTGGCTGGGCCCCCTGCCCCTGACTCTGGGAACCCAGGAGTTTGAAGCCCAGGCGTGTTTTGCCTCAGTCCTGGGGTCCGGGCTCCCTCCTCCCTCAGACCAGGGATCCAGGCCAGAAGGTCCTTCCTGTCGCACTTCACCTCCCCCAGGATGGACCCTGGAGTCCATCCGCGCCCCTCCATTTGTGGCTGCTGTTTCTGTCCAGTGCCCCTGAGGCCCTCGGCTGCTGGGGTCCGCAGGAAGCCACGCCATGAATGACCGGAGCAGCCGGAGGCGGACAAGTGAGGAAGCTGGGTCCCCTTCCCTACCCTGGGTCCCAGTGCGGTCGGCTCCAGGCTGCCGTGGTTGGGGGGTGGTCTGAGGGGCCCGGGACTTCTCTGGGGTGACCCGGGGCCTCTCCTCTCCAGTGAAGGACGATGAGACCTTCGAGATCTCCATCCCCTTCGACGAGGCGCCCCACCTAGACTCACAGATCTTTTACAGTCTGAGTCCCTCTCGGGGAAACTTCGAGGGTGAGCCGAGGGGGCGTGGAGGGACTGGAGTCAGCTGGGAAGCCAGGCCGAGTCCCAGGGTGTGACCTGGTCCCCCCACCCTCGCTGTGTCCCTAGAGCCTCCGGAGGCTGCGTCCCCCGCCCTGGCTTTGATGAACAGCGTCAAGGCCCAGCTGCACATGGCTCTGGAGAGGAACTCCTGGCTGCAGAAGCGCATCGAGGACCTGGAGGAAGAGAGGGATTTCCTGCGGTGCCAGCTGGACAAATTCATCTCTTCTGCTCGGATGGAGGCAGGTATGTGTGGGGTGCTCTGATCCACCTGCCTCCCTGTCCCGCTACTGGGTACCTGCTCACCCAGACTTGAGGCTCCACTGTTTGCCTGGCTGGGTGGGACCTGCCATGTTGGCCCTCTCTGCTAGTCCCCTGCCTGTTTTGGGCCCCCAGGCCCAGCTTCCTCCTCACTTGATGTCCAGGACCTCATCCCCATGAACTGTCTACTGGGGCCTGTCCTCCTGCTTTCTCCTTCAGCTCCCCAAATCCCATCAGCCTCCAGTGCCCTGCCATCTGTTTCCTCGGCCTATGGTGACTTCAGGAGCCTGGAACCTGAGAGTCCCTCTCTTCTGACTCCTAGGGGGACCTTCCTTCATCTCTTTGGCCGAGAGGCCCACCCTAGTCCTTTGGGTTTCCTCAGGGGGCCCCTGATCCTCTTCCTGGCCCTGTCTTCTCCTAGATCCAAGAGTCCAGCCATCCAGCCTCCTCCTGTCCCCCCGCTCCCCTGTGTGACACCAGGGGCCATCTTCCCACCCACCCTGTCCCATCCTTGGTTAATGAGTTCTCCTTCCTCATGAAAGACATTAAGGCTCTTCCTTTGTGGGCCTTTTTGGGTGGGGACCCCAGCAGGTGCTGTCCCTCAAACCCTGCCCCAGGTTCCTGGGCAGTCCCTGCCCACATACCTTGCTCTGCTATAATTCATGGCCAGAAGCAGACGGGAGAGCTCCCATAGCAGCCCCCAGCCCCAGCCAGTTCACAGCTAGCATCTTCTCTTGACTGGTGGGACCCTGTGTCCTGTTTAATACATTTTGGACCCCAGCCACATCCTCTTCCCCAGATGGTCAGGCCCTTTGCCAGACAGCCCATGTCCTGGAGAACCCACACTTTACCCCACCTACCCTCAGCTCGGCCTTGCTAGCTCCTTGGCTGAGAAGACCCCTCAAAAACTCCCACATCTCTCTTTGTGAATTCAATCCTTTCCCCCAAAAACTTGGGCAAGGGGCCTATGTTACTAAGGTGTCTCTGTTACTGGGAGCCCAGCATCTGGGGATCTGGCCTTCCCTCTGTTCTGGAACAAACCGCCTCTGACTGCCCTTGCCTGCCACTGTCTCCTCCCACTGATGGTTCCATCCTGGGTGACTGACTCCTTTGCACAGACGGTTTGGTCCTGCGGCCTCGGCACTTTCCCAGTGGGGACCCTGGCACCAGACCCCTCTCCCAACTCGCCTTCTAGAGGACCCTGTGTCTGGTCCTCCACCAGCCAGCTCCCTCTGTCTAGATGGAGGTGGGACCCATCCTGCTGGACCCAGGACCCCTGATTTCTCTCAGGGTCTGACCCCCCGACTCCAGCCAAGGCCTTGCCTGCCTCCTGGGTTTACAGAGTCCACTCTCCGGAGGTCCCACCCAGTCCCCAGAAATCTCTCCCTCCCCTGTGGGAACCGCATATACTCACAGGGGTCCTGAGGTCCCTGGTCGGCTGCCCCCCCATAGACCTCTTGCCAACCCAAGCCTCTGAGAAAATGCTGCACCCATTACTACCTCCCACAGACCCCAGCAGGCTCTCCTCAGCCACCAGCATCTCTACTGTACTCCCTGTCCGTTTCTTTAGGGGACCAGCCCAGGTTGGGGGATCCAGTTCTGGGGACTGCAGCCTCTCTCAGTCCCAGGACCTGTGATGGGATGTCTGGTCCCATAGTTCACGTGTGTCTCTCTCTCTCCCCAGAGGACCACTGCCGGATGAAGCCTGGGCCCAGGCGGATGGAGGGGGACAGCCGGGGTGGGGCTGGGGGCGAGGCCTCGGACCCTGAGTCAGCAGCCTCCTCCCTCAGTGGAGCCTCCGAAGAAGGCAGCGCCAGCGAGAGGAGGCGGCAGAAGCAGAAGGGAGGTGCTAGTCGGAGGCGCTTTGGGAAGCCCAAGGCCCGGGAGAGGCAGCGAGGTGGGTGAGGTGCATGGCGCGGGCGCTGAATTGCTGTGTGTCCTTCCCAGAGGCCCTCCTTTCTCTCCAAGCCCCTCCAGCTTTGCTGGAGAAAGACCCACCGGGTTCTGTCTCTCCCTCCCCACTTGTAATCCTGGGATTACAAAGCGTGAGCCATAGCGCCTGGCCTGTCCTGGGTCTACTTTAAGTTTTGGTCAACCCTCGAGGGCAGGGCCACCTTGGGCACGCCCTTAACCTTCATCGGTAAGGAGGAGGTGCGCAGTAGGACCTACCTCGGGGCAGGTGAGGCTTGAATAAGTGAATTCACCTGAGGCAGGGAGGTGAGGGTGATGGCTGGGCGTGGTGGAGAGGCAGGCGGGCAGGCGGGCAGGCGGGCGGGCGAGGAGGGTTGTTGCTGGGACCGCGTTGGTTGAACCCGGCCTCTCGGCTCATGTTCTCTCCTCACCCTCCTTCCTGGGCCTGCCTCTTCCCATTTCCCACTGGTCCAAGTACTGGCTGCGCTTCTTTCCCTCCTCTCCGCTCCTTCCTTCCCTGTTATCCGTCTCCTCCTGCACCGCCCGTGCCTCTGCTCGCTGGGATCTTTCCTTCCCATGGCCGTTTCCCTTCCCGTGTCCGCCCCCTCGGTCTTGGCCCCTGCTCCTCACTTCCGTGTCCCCGCCTCCGCCCCGCAGTGAAGGACGCCGACGGGGTCCTCTGCCGGTACAAGAAGATCCTGGGCACCTTCCAGAAGCTCAAGAGCATGTCGCGGGCCTTCGAGCACCACCGCGTGGACAGGAACACCGTGGCGCTGACCACGCCCATCGCCGAGCTGCTCATTGTGGCCCCCGAGAAGCTGGCCGAGGTGGGCGAGTTCGACCCCTCCAAGGAGCGCCTGCTCGAGTACTCCCGTCGCTGCTTTCTGGCCCTGGACGACGAGACGCTCAAGAAAGTGCAGGCGCTCAAGAAGAGCAAGCTGCTGCTGCCCATCACCTACCGCTTCAAGCGGTGATCGCACCACGCCTCCGCGCCTCCGCCCGGGCCTTCCTCCCCCGCCGATCCCGGCCCTCCCCAGGCCCCCGGTGGATGACCTGCGCCTCTCCCTGCCGCGCCCCTGCCCCTCCTCCTCGCTCCCTGGGTTGGGGGCTCCCTTAGCCGGGCCCCCAAGCGCGACGGCCCAGGGCCGGCCGCAGCCCCTTCCCGAACGCCGGCATCCCCTTCCACTTGGGCTGCCCAGCCCTGTCCTCGCCGGACCCCTTCCTCCTGGAAATCAACCAGGCAGGAGGGTGCCGCCCCCCTCTCGGGTGGGGGACTGTATAGACACCGTCTCCGCCCCGGCCCCGCGGAGGAGCTGCCCACCTGATTCCCGGACAGACCTCCCCAACTCCGCGCGAGACAGAGAATTATTCAGAGAATTTAAATTAAAAAACGACGTGAAAATTTGGAATAAACTGGGCCTCAGCCTTTTCCTAGGAGGGGGACGTGCCTGGGAAGGGGAGGCCGTCGCCCCGACGACGGTGATGGGGTTGCGGGGGCTTCCAAGGGGGTGGGCGCTCAGGCGGGAGGCCGGGTAGGACAGGGGTGTAATTAGCCCCCCGGAGGCAGAGACGGAGAAACAGCTGTGCCCCTGAAAACTCGGAGGCAGAGCTCTGGAAAAGAAGCGCGGACACAGCCGGGCGCGGTGGCTCACGCCTGTAATCCCAGTACTTTGGGAGGCCGAGGCAGGCGGATCACGAGTTCAGGAGATCGAGACTGTCCTGGCTAACACAGTGAAACCCTATCTCTACTAAAAATACAAAAAATTAGCCAGGTGTCCCAGCTACTCGGGAGGCTGAGGCAGGAAAATCGCTTGAACCCAGCAGGCGAAGGTTCCAGTGAGCCGAGATCCGGCCACCGCACTCTAGCCTGGGCGATAGAGTCTTTGTCGCAAAAAAAAAAAAAAAAGTAAAAAGCGTAAACGCTACCCGCTGGGCTACCCGGACCAGTGAGTGGCGCGAGAGGCGGGACTCGATGACCTCGAGCAGGGGAGGCCACCCAGCGGCCAGGCCAAGTCTGGAGGATTCTTCCGTCCGGCCGCCAGGGGGCAGTAACGCCAGATCATCTGTCTCCCGGAAGGAATGCGCGATCATCCATCTGCTGCGCCTGCGCGGCGGGAGGGGCCGGAGCGCGTTGATGCGGTTGCCAAGACAACCAAGAGGGTGGCCGGATTTAACCGTTGGGGATTAAGCACTTTCACTCTAGGAAGGGAAAACCTCGCGCACGCGCAACGGGGACTGAAACCTGGTCCCCGCAACCCCCTACACCGGAGCAGTGGGAGAGCGCGCCACAGAGACTCTTACGCAGGCGCAGAAGCCTGTTTCCCCCTCACCCGCCGCTTCCGCCCTGCGCAGGCGCAAAAAGCCGCGCTGGCAACCTCCGCAGCGGTCGCGCGCACCGTTCACCCCTCTTGCTGCTTTTGTCTCGCGCAACCTTCTCAGGCCCTCCGCGAGGCCGGTCCTTTTTTTCTTTCACTTTCCCCACCCGGAGAGCCAGGTGCGGAGAACCGGGACCTCGTCTCCTTCTCTGTATCCCTTCCCCTGACCCACCTTGCCTCCGTCCTCCCTCCCTTTTCCGTTCCCGAAGCCGGAAGGAGCCGAAGCACCCACGAAAAAAGCCGAAGCTGTCCCCGGAGAGTGAGGCCTTCACGAAGCGGTGGCGGAAGGAGCCGAAGTTCTCTGATCTGCGGAGTGAGCAAGTGGCATCTCCGGAAAGAGCCGAAACTTGGACTCGAGCTTAATCCCAGGAGGGGCCCGAGGGCGAGCGCCGGAAATCTCCGGAAAGAGCCGAAGGCCGGGACGGTTAGGATTGTCGGAAGTGGCCGATTGCTTGGACAGGGCCGGCGGAGAAGATCGGAGGAAATCCGTGGAAGCAGCCAAAGACTGGGACGGATTGAATTGTCGGAAGAACCCGAACTCGCAGAGGGGGCTGGGCGCAGTGGAACACGAGGACACACGGAAACCTCCGAACGTTGAGGAGATAATTTTGGAAAAGTTACGGAAACCTGGGAAGTCGGCGAAACCCTACCTTCGGGTGTTTTCGGAAGCAGTCGCAGCTGCCATCTGCCTCTCCTTCGTCCAGTGTCCGGAAATAGCCGACGCGCTTCGGAGCCAGGCTCGGGGGGCGGGGCAAGCTCGCGGGCGGGCGGGCGGGTCAGGGGGCGGAGCCCGGGCGGGCGGGGAGGGCTGCCGGAGGCTTGATTAGGTAGGAGGTGGCGAAGCGCCGGCGGCGGCCGGAAGTAGCCGAAGCCAGCGGCGGAAGTAGCCGAAGCGGCCGGAGCGGGCGGCAAGGCGAGGCGAGAGCTGCACAGGGCCCTACGCGGCCGCCTCAGCATGTCGGACTTCGACGAGTTCGAGCGGCAGCTCAATGAGAATAAACAAGGTGAGGGCGCCGGGGTCGCGGGGCGGAGGTGTGGGCGGGTCCTCGCGTCGCTCTTTGCCCCCCCGCCATTTTCTCCCTCGCTTCCCCCCACCTCTCACGGCCGTGCGACCCCCCCCAACCCCGGTTCCGTGGCGCGCGCCTTGTTCACGTGACGTCCCCAGCGTTCGGCCGCGCGCTAGGCGAGGGGAAGGGGGCGGCGGGGCGCGGGCCCATGACGCATGCGCACGGCGGCTGTCCCCGTGCCCCACGTGGTCCTGCCGGAGGTGGCTCGGGGGACGCGGCGCGAGTGCGCCAGGTACCTCGACGTGAACTTTTGTTTTTTAAAATCTTTTTGTATTCTCTGAAAAGGAGATTATGTTAGGCCCCGTAATCGGTTCTTTTTCTCCCGCTGCCTTGGCACTTCCGCTTCCGGTCGGGCCCACGGCCGCGTCTCCACGCCCCCTTTGTTTCCAAAATGGCGGTTGTGAGGACTCGGGGGGCCCCCCTTTCCCTCCTTCACGTGGATGAGGACAGAGCTGTTTCGGGGGACTCTTGGAGGCCACGAGCCCGTCTCATACCCCTTTTCCTTTTTGCTGATTTGCTGCGGCCTCTCCTGCCAGGTGGTTTCTGCCCCGTCTGTTGGTAGTGGGGCGCCTCATATTAATGTGTTGGGCGCATGGTCCCTGAAGCATCTGCATTCTTTGAGTGTCGGCACGCACACATCCTGCATATGCGGAACTTTTGGCGGTCCCGAGAATCGCGATATGGAGTGTTTGAGACAAACCTCAAATCATGTACGATCCCAAACTCGGGACACCTAATAATACTCAGCGTCAGATCTCGATGTAGAGATAAGGAAACAGGTTCTGAGGGAGGAAGAGGGATCTGGCCCACTGCGCTAAACTCTCCACTTAACGGGGAAGGTGGGAGGCAGGTTCCCTTCAGGGTATCGAGAATTGTAATGGGTGAGAACAAAAAGCGTGGGGCCCTGCTGATCTTAGGGATTCCGGGAATATTAGAAGTGGGAGAGTTGTTCCATGTTTCATTTTGAGAGTGAAGAAACTCAGGACTAGGGAAGGTTGGGGACTTGTTTCATTTGTTTTGAGGCTTCAGCTGCCCATGATCCTAGGTCGTTCGGAGGGCGAAATGAGGGCTAAGGAATTTTCCTTTGAACCCAGGCTAGAGTTGGGTAGGGGCTGTATTAGGAAACAGTGCCCTGGGGAAGAAATAACGTTTACTGAGGGTCTGACTCTGTCTTAGGTGGTGGACTGTTCAAGAGCATAGGCTTTGGAGTTGAGCACATCAGGGGTTTAGATACTTGCTTTGTTGGTTAGTAGCTACTTTTAATACGTTTATATCTCTTTTTTTTTTCCTATTTGTAGTCTGATTATTATTTTCTTCTCACTCGGTTTTGAGAAGATTAATAAGGATTATAGTAACGATAGGTATAGTTAAACTCTGAGCGTTTACGTGTGCCAGGCTCTTCGCTAAACTCTTAGCGTGATTTTACTTAGGGGATCCGCCTCTACTGGGGAGGAAACTGAAGGCTCAGAAAAGTTAAAAACTTTCTCAGGGCTCAGCTAGTCAGAGGCAGAGCTGAGATTAAATGGGGTAACGTAAAGTGTGTGGCATTTGGCTTGGTGTACACTAGGTGTGCAGTAAGCGATATTTGCAATTGTAAAATTCCATGCTTAAAGAGGAGGGTCTTCCACTCACAGAGATTATGTCACAGTTGGGAAAGGGCAGGAAAAGGTGCTTTCCAAATGTCATTCTGTCACACAACACCTGAGTGGAGTAGATGTGACCCTCGTTTACAGAGAAAAAACCAAGTCTTAAAGGTTAAGTTGTTTTTGCATGGTTTTTGTTGGTAAGCAGAAAAGCAGGTACTGATTCTGAGCTGTGGCTGGCTTCAAGGCCAAGTTCCACTCTGCTGGGCCACCAAGTGGAGCGGATCCGGCCGTTCTTTGAGGCTCTCAGATGGTGCTTCCCTGGTTCTCCCCGGGTTTCCCCCTTGGTGCTGATAGGGCCCTCCCTGAGACCTGGCACGGCTCCTGGGTTGCCGGAGCTGCCCCCATAAGATGACCACAATACAGTGTTTTGAGCAAATGAAGCTCTCTTTGCTTTTACCTGTCCAGCATCAGGGTGTGGGAGAGGGTTTTTGTCATAGGGGAAGTTCTGCCCACGTGGCACTCTGCCTGCGGGTCTTTGTGGAGGACGGATCAGCCTCTGTACCTGTCGGCTTCTGCTTCAGTTCCTTCCTCTGCTACCTGTGTCGATAGGGAATTTCCTTGTCTGTGTCCCAGGCACCCAACGGGCGTCATTGCTTTCTCTGCGTGACTTCCTCTCTGCCTGCTTGCCTGTTTCAGAGCCTTAGCAGCAGGAAGGGCCCTTGGGGCTCACAGCCTGTCCATCTTACAGGCGTGGAGTTGTGCCCAGTGCCGTGCCTTCGTGCTTACCCTGCTGCTCTGCACTGCTGGCCTGTCCTGCCGATTGTTCCTCCCAATTTCAGTTTTTGATTTTGGGGTTTTTGGCCTTCGAGGGGACAGTTATATTGTCATTAGTGGTTCTAGCCAGACTTGAGTGTTCTGCCTGATCCACATTCAAGAGTATGACCTGCTGCTTAACTCACTGATGTTTGAGAGTTTACGTTCTGGTATCACCATTTCCTAGCTGTCTGGCCTTGGGTAACTGTGATCTCTCTGAACCTTAGTTTTCTACCCATTAGGTCAGCCCCCAGCAGTGTTTTTCCGAAGCAGTAGTGAGGATTAAGAACAAACAAAACTATTTAGTACAGATTCCAATTGTAGGAAGCATCTCAGTATTTGTTTCTGTTTTTTTCCCTTTTGGGTACATATTTTTCTGAGTGTTGGTGGTTTTGGAATTGTGATGCTTTTCCAAACATTCAAATTGCATCACAAAAACATAAGACAAAACACTGTGGGTGAGGCTAAAGTTTAACATCCTCCCTCAGTGCCTTTTCCTCCTCTTGTCCCCAGGGATGATCACTCCAGGAGATGCGTGTTAACATACATGAGCACCTTAACGTGTGCATCTT